GGTATCAAGCTGCAGGCGTCGGAGAATGGTGGGATAATAATGGTGGAAAGAATTACAAGGTGGTTTTCAAAAAGGCATCGACTACAAGCTCTACTCCCTCTGCAGCAAAGGTTTCGTCTCCGCTCAGGTTCTCAGATGGCCCCAAAAAGATGTACCCAGGTTTGGATCTTCGACAAACTACACTTCTCACTTCATCGGATCCCTCTATACCTCCTCTCAAACTCAAGAAACCAGCATTTTCTGCATCTGGTACCTCGACTCCTCCAAAAGCAGCCCCCTCCGCCCCAGCTGCTACGACTGTAAATGCTGTCGTAGCACCACCCCCTCCATTCGCAACATCATCTTCTAATGCAACAAGTGCTCATCAGCGCATTCCATCCAATACCTCGCTAGTATCCAGTTCAAGTTCTGGGTCATTGCGCCTGTCCAACTATGCATCGCCGACCTCACCTGTGGCTTCGGGTCGGAATCATTCGCGAGGGTCCTCTATGATGTGGCAAGACGGTGAATTAGGTCCAATTGTAGGAGGACAACCTATCACTTCCCCTCCTACTCCTCCCGCCTTGCAAGTCCCTGATCAGGACAATGGACCCACTCCGAAGAAGCGCTCGCCAACAAACAGTATCGCCTCTACAGTCTCCCCAGCATCTACGGGAATCCCCATCACCCCAGCATCTCCCGATTCTAACGACCGGACGCCTCCCGCTAATGGCTTCCCTAATGGGAAGAATACCTCTTACCCATTCACCTCAAACGATAGCAGATATGCCGCGCTTGTAGAGCAATGGTGCTTCCACCAGTCCCCTCCCCCTGGCATGGGAAACGGTGCCCCGTCTGAAATGGCGACACCGGCACTCGGGCCAGCTGCTGGGACTTCTCCCAATATCTCTTCCGGATATGGGTCCGGATACGGTTACGGCCACCAGTATTCTATTGGAAAGCCTTTGACTCTGAAGCCTTAGATGATGAACGACTGCGACGACTCTTCCTCCCCAAAAAAAAGTGCTATCGATCGACTCAGTTTCTTTTTTCACTCTCTATTTGGACCACAACTTGTAGATGGGATGCGATATCCCAATTTCTCGTCTCGACATCTATAGAGCCTGCATCGAAGGAAAGGGGTACCTCAGTTTTTACCCCACTGCGCACGTTGACTAGAAATGTTTTTATGCTCCTTGTTGTAGAAAAAGCAAGCTACAGCTCTATCTGAACATTATCTGTACGTGGTTATAGATTTCTATGCCAATCTTCATCTCTTTCCTTCACTCTTTCACAGTCCACAATTCCTTTCCTTGCCTCCTCTACAAGAATTCACTGGCTTCCGCTTTATACGACTGTTCCTATTTTTCTCTCAGTGTATGACAATTTTTCCAATTATACATCTGGCTTTTCCCTTTATCCGCATCCCCAATTTTCGAGCGCACTTGGCGTTCTCGTAAGACAGCTGTCAAATTCCATCCTGTACGATGGTCCAGCCATCGCTTCTCAGCGCCGAATAAGTTTTGTCTTTTTGGGAGCTAGGGACCAAGAGATAGTCGGTGTTCCTAAAAAGGTAATGGTACTAATTAAGCCCCGAGTTGCACGTTGTTCGCAATGAACCGAGAAGAAAACTTGCCATGTGGCCAGAGTGAATATCGGTACGTTCGCAGCTTTTAAAGGAGTGATCAGGCCACAGAGTATTCCTGTCAAGGCTGCGTGCGCGCGCATCAATCACAAATAATGAAAGGGAACGCATTCAAAGATGGCAGATTGGGGACGCAGTGAACGTACACAAATCCATTGGCCCCCTAATCGCTAAGGCAATGTACTCCCAGTCATCCGGTCCATTTTGCAGCAAAGTATCCGGCGTGCCGACCTTTAGATCGTCAAACGCTTCTGGAGGCTGATCAGTGACAATCGAGATTTCGTCTTTTGTCCATGTGATAGATTTGAAGGATAAATCCTTTTGCAGGGACTGTAGCAGAGAAGGCGGCACGGTAGTATTGGCGCCGAGCTGATAGACGTACAGGGGTTTAGGGTGAGGGATCAGGTGATAGGCCGGCGAATCATTAGGAGGAGGCATTCTTGAAGGCAGTGCTAGTGTGGAGGTTAGCTTTGTTAGGCAGTTATTTACGGCTCTAGCTCACCAATCAGATAATGGTGGAGGGGTGTGAACCGTGGTGGCAATCGGCCGCAACGGTTAATCTTTTCTCGTCAAGCTCTCGAAGCGAGGGATGATGCGAAAATATAGGCATGCCATAGAAGAGAATCTCGGAGTTGATATTCACCCTTCGAATGATTATGACATTATAGCTCCAAAGTTGCGGGTGCAGATCAACGCACTACATCATCCGAAAGGGTGTGCACGAATAAGAAGATTTGACTCCCATATGTAACTAAATTAAACATGAGACGTCGGAAGGCGATAGATGACTTCTTGAGAGGCCTCGACCTATAGGCAATGGCAACCTTCGAGATGAGTCCGAAGTTGGGAACAGCTATAATTCCATGATATCACTTCGAAATGGCGTATGATTGCCTATCTCTCGTAAATTTGAATCTTGGAATGCCGAAGAATGCGTCCCTAAGGATCTTCGCGAACATAAGGGTGGGAGATGGATTTGGAGCGTCGAGACTTCGGTATGGAGAAAGAAAATCAGGGACCACAAACGTGCATCGAAATGGTTCAGAACAGGGCTTTTATGTGGTGCCTGGTCAAGTCCTGAGCTGAGATAACGAGCACCACGATATATATGAGCCTCACTCTCGTGGCCAGATTCTGTGATCTTTCAAGGCTCTTTGACGTTAAGATGTCGGTAATTTGCCTGTATTCGGAGGGCTTCGTGGATTTATGCTGTCCGCCAATGAAAATTAGATAGAACCAAAAGTCGAAACCGAGCTTTAGCTGAAAGCAATTCTCCTTCAGTTATGAATAGTGTTCCTTAAGATGTAACGAATTTACTGTCAAAGATGACGGAGGCGTGGACTGTTCACTGTACACACCTGTCAGTTGATATCATGAAACTCGGTCTATGTCACAACCCCATCATAATCAGAGGTGTTTGTCTGATAGAAGCAAAACGCGTCGAGTTGCTCGCGTCGATAGCGTAGTTTGCCACCTCCTCCTTGCTGTGGCCGAGTTCCAAAAACAAAATCCACTACATGTACGTCTGTTGAGCCCATTGTCGAAAGCAATTAACTTTTCAAAACACAGCAAAACGACCACACCCGGGGTCGAACCGAGGACCTTTGGTTTTCAAACATATCGAAGACCAACGCGGTAACCACTCCGCCATGCGGCCTAATATCTGATCGGGTCAAATGTTCTATGTAGAATCACTAGCTGTTAAGCTAAGCCTCAAATGATTCCATAATTCTGTGATGGGTGGGTGTAGTCTATCTTTCGTGGTCTTGCGCCTAAATGACCCCTTTTGGATCCAGGACTTGCACCATATTAATAGTACCACCCCTGCCATTCATGTGAGCTTCGAATCACAGTAGTGGGGGCCGGTTGCGCACCCTTCGGGAAACGAGTTGATTCGCACAATCGCCAAACCCTCCTCGGACTAGCACTAGCCCTATTCCGCAATATTCTCTACGAGCATTATCATCGAGAGTAGCAACCAGGAACCTTATGTAGTCGTCGATATGAGACTTGATTGGGATAATGGTTGTACCTCGCCCAGCCTGTCCCCTAACCTCTTCCTCACCCGATTCAACCACCACTGCGACAATCATGGTCACACTTTCTGCGATCTCGGACGGCCAAGAGGGCCGAGATACCCAATACATAGACGATATTCTCCGGTCGCAGTCGCACAATGAGTGTCTCCGAAGCTTGTGTTAATGTCACTCCGATTCGTGTGAACGCCCCTGAAAGCATTTGCTTACCTCTCCAACCACGAGACACTCATAGCAGAAACAGTGCCGAGACGCTCTGGGAGGAATACCGATTGACCAACGGTGATACCCCGCATTCATCGCGAACCCATTTCATATGTAGATCAATACTCAAACAATAGTATTGGATCGCGGAGCTGAGGTGTCTTCATGGAAGGGTAACGTCGGCTGGTACACAAAGGACTACACTTCTTTGAATGCATCTCCAACTTC